TGGTAAGGAGCCTAACGCGAAGGTCCAAGGAGAGCCTCCTTGGAAAGCCAAAGTCCGTCTTTGTGCCTGTGGCAACTTTGAGGCCTATGATGGGGCAGAGGTCACGACGCAGAACGTCAGTCCAGCTGCACTTCGTATCATGGGACATGAGGTGAGTGCCCACCCTGAGTGGGTGGCCGCATCTGGAGACGTGTCTCTGGCCTTCCTGAACTCGAAGCTTGATGACGACGACATCGTGCTTTTAGAACCACCTTCGACTCTAAAGCGGTTAGGCCTAGTCAAGCCTAATGTGTTGTGGCGAGCGCGCAAGCACATATATGGTTTGAGGAGGAGTCCGAGAGCTTGGAGCAAGCTAAGGGACGACACCATCAATGGCAAGGAGCTTGCTTACGATGGAGGATCCTTTGTGGCAGAGCTGGTTCCAGATGAAGAAGGACTCTTTGTTCTACGAGATGTTAGCTCACAAGAGGTCATAGGCATCGCCGCAGTCTACGTCGACGACGTTTTAGTGGTAGGCCAGGCATCGGCAGTCACCGCCTTCCTGGACTTTGTTGCAGCGACTTGGAATACAAAACTCTCAGGCTTCATCAGCCGTGAGGGTCCTGAAGAGCTTCGAAAGGGAGACTTCAGTTTGAAGCGGGTTCAAGAGTTGACGTTCATCGGGCTTCAGATTCATTTCGAAACTGACGGTGCTGTCAAGTTCCATCAGAAGAGATGGGTTCTGAGTGAGCTACATCAGAGGAACTGGATACATCTTCGTGGATCCCAGAGCCTTCCACAGGTAGAGTTTGCCGGAACGGAAGATCCGGAGAATCCTGGTTACGCCACGGCTTTGAAGGAGGCCCAAACCGAGCTGGGTTGCCTACTGTGGGTAGCAACCAAGAGCAGAGGGGATCTCCTGTCTGCTGTGTCAATAGCAGCCTCGCATCTGCACAAGTGCCCGACGCAAGTCTTGAAGGTCGCCCACGGTTGCTGGCGATATCTTCGGGGAACCCTAGACATTGGAGTGTATTTTCAGGGCTCAATCGCTAATACATCTCTTGAGGTGTGGAGCGACGCATCTTTCGCTCCCGAGGGGAGTAGATCACGCTCAGGCGGGACAATCACCTTGTCTGGCTCGCCTTTGGCATGGTGGAGCTCGAAGCAGACAGTTACGGCGTGGAGCGTCTGCGAGGCAGAAACGGACGCTCTGGCGCTTGCAATGTCAGAAACGACGAAGATCCTTCCATTGCTTGAGGCCCTTTCAGGTCGACAGTTTGACTCACACGTGAAGATGTTTGGCGATAACTCAGCAAGCATTGTAGTGGCGAATCGAGAGACCTTCTTTGTGAAAACTTGGAGGACGCGTGCATTTGCTTTGAGGGCATCATGGTTGAGAGACCAGCTCAGAGATCAGAATGTCCTGTTGCAGCATCACCCTGGTGCTACGCTGATTGCAGACATGTTAACGAAAGTCTTGTCGAAAACGAAGCTGGCTGAGCTTCGCTCCCGCGCCGGTTTCAAGTAGAAGTTTTGTCGTCACACGTGAACACCACGAAGAGCTGATAGGACAGAAGCTGCTGTCCCGCACAGAGGTTGTAGCCGATGTCATGTCCAGTTCTTGCATGTCTGATTCTTGCCGAAGGAATAGTCCAGTAGGAATCCGGAATTTATTTAGTGATAACCGCTGCTGTACACCGTTAGTGAGCCACTGGGCCTCAAGAACCTTGTGACACCTCGTTACAAGAAATGAAAGACCGAGTCACGGGGGTACTCGGCCAAGAGCTCATAGGCTGAGTCATGCACTGAAGCGTGTTTGACATTCTTGAAAGACGGTGGGCAACTAGCCAGCGATAGTCTTTTGTGCACTCTGAGAGCAGCAGGTGGCCTGACTTTCAGTCCCCTGCTGAGGAGGAGTGTTGCTGTAGGGCCCAATCCCTACTTTTGGCAGGTGCACAAATCGAGAAGTGTACCGCAGGTGCACAAATCGAGAAGTGTACCACATCTTGTCTGGCAGGTGCATGACCCCTGCTAAGGATGACACGCACAAATCCGAATGGCTCAAGCACGAGCCCTATGAAGGGCGCAGCGAGGTGGGTGCGAAAAGCACCTTGGGGCATTGGGGTTTGGGTTGCTTGTTTGAGGGTCCTTGTAGTGCCTTGCTATCTTGCATGCTACTCGATGTACTATGGAGAAGTATGATCATCTAGATGACTTACCTATGCAGATTAGAAGGCATCATGCAAGTCCTACTCCTAGTCACTATTCTATTGTTACGAACAGCCCTTCCCCTGAACCAAACACCAGAAATCAACATTAAGGACCCTAGACTATGGGAATCATGGTAATGTGGGTGTCGGTTTTGGAATATAGGCTCCTTTAATGCGTCGGCTCGGGGGCTAATTCCGAATCTGACCAAAAATTTGGGGGTACTAATTAATGCGTTTTTTTTTGCTGGGTGGATTTTTTGGTGGTGGGGCTGTGCTGTTTGCCGATGGTCAATCTTAAGGCAGCCACGGCCTGAAGCCCCACCCAAACCCCCACCCAACCCTAAAACCCTGGCCCTGAAGCCCGAAAATCTCGTACAGAATTGTTTCGCTTATTGGGGCGTCAGGAATGAGAATCTGTACTACTACAGTACTACTACTGTACTACTACTGTACTACTATTGTACTATTGTACTGATACTGTATGCCTTGCTTATTGGGGGGGGCTGCTAGGATGAACCGCCGAATTGGGAATTTGGACCCTTGCTCGACAAAGGCCTCTCCAGTACTAAAGTTTGCATCAAAATTCAATTTTGGGTCGAATCTGGACCGACCACCCTTTGGGAAGGGTTTAGGGCTTAGGGTTTAGGGTTTGTTAGGGTTTAGGAGTTTAGGATTCGTTAGGGTTTAGGGTTTGTTCGGGTTCAGGGTTTAGGGTTTAGGGTTTCAGGCGCTGGCTTTATGCTTTGCTTATTGGGGGAATGTGCTCACTGGCTTTATGCTTTGCTTATTGGGGGAATGTGCTCACTGGCTTTATGCTTTGCTTATTGGTACTATTTCTGTACTATTCCTGTATTACTACTGTACTACTGTTGTACTACTACTGTACTACTAGTGTACTACTGTACTACTATTGTACTACTACTGTACTATTATTGTACTACTACTGTACTACTACTGTACTACTATTGTACTACGGTACTATAATCGTACTACTACTGTACTACTACTGTACTACTATTGTGCTACTATTGTACTACTGTACTATTATTGTACTACTACTACTACTACTGTACTACTGTTGTATTACTATTGTACTATTGCACTGTTATTGTACTACTAAATAGTACTACTATTGTACTACGATACTATCATCGTACTGCTACTGTACTACTACTGTACTACTATTGTGCGACTATTGTACTACTGTACTATTATTGTACTACTACTGTACTACTACTGTATTATTTCTACTGTACTACTATTGTACTACTGTACTATTATTGTACCGCACCAAGCTTCAGACGTGGTCGATTGTGGGTGGGAGTGTAGGAGTGCAGGTTACGGAGGCAAAAGTGTTCAAAATGAAGGGGTTTTTAGTCTTGGTAGTAATTTTGGAGTGATCGGGGCTTGGTTTCCAGCATTTGGCGATCCCCAGACCCCCCGACCCCCGACCGCACATTCGCGCAGAACCGCAGACCCTGCACCCAAGCCAGCCCCCAAACCCCGGCACCTCCCAATTCCCTGCCACTCAGACCCCTGACCCCTGTCCCGGCGTCACCGGCTCCATATCAAATAGAATTTATTTTTTTGGTTGGTTGGGGGGGGGGGTACCCTACTATTAAACCGACACCCACACTATATTCCTTATTGTGGGTCATGCAGGATTTATATCATCAACCGAAGTAGGCCCATTGGGGCACTGTCTCCAGATAGGCAACCATCTTAGGCCGGATGCGTTCCGCGATTATTGCTGCTAGCAGCTTATTGCCTGGATGCAGGAGGGCAATGGGACGTACCCAGAGAGCCCAATACCCCTTAACTAAGGAATATAGCTTAAAGCATAATATGAAGCCCTATATAATTTGAGCCATATTCCTTAATTAAGGGGTATTGGGCTCTCTGGGTAGGGATTTCGGCTCCTTGACCAGCGACGCACACGGTGAAGTGACTCGGATTTCGGCCAAATCTAGTTCGGCCACCTCGGTTTCAAGCCAAAGCTCACTGTTTGGGGTCAACGGCAAGATCGGCAAGGTGGGGTCTTAACACTTACCTATACTATTTTGGGGGTTCCTTGTTTAGTTATAGTATAGTCTGCCCCAAAGCCCTATTCTAATGCTTAAGGCCCTATATTGGGCTTTAGTGGTCCTCTCTGGGGTTCAGATGAGCTTCTAAAAAAGTTACAGAACACACGAACCTAACATAGTACCCTAAATATTAGGATCCTTACTGTAAGGACCCCAAACTAAGGCACCCCCTGATTTTCGAAAACCTCAGTCCAAAATCTGAGCCCGAGTACTGGATCCCATCGGAGATTTGAGTCTACATCGGCCAAGGCCCTAAGCTTGGAAACGCCTGAACCGAAGGGTTTGGGCGCGTAGGAAGTGTGGCTGAAGGCCATCGGATGCTGGGATCAGGATTGGGTTCTCGTACACTTATGTACTCTACGGCTCAAAATAAGCCGAGACCCTTGCATTGCACTCCAGAAACTTACCTTATGCTTCCAAGGACCATATAGTTAGGGCCCCAGACCCCTTAAGGACCCAATAATAAGGTCCCTGGAAGCATAGGGTTAACAATCTAATACCTGATTTGTTTCAACCGTGTAGTCGGTGCAGGGATGTTGCATGAGGTTGCCCTAAATCATAGGGACCCTTGGGGAGGGGGGGGGGGGGTTGGGGCTATACTTCCTGAAGTAGGCCTTACTAAGTCCTTATTATGGGTATTAAGGCCCCCTACCCCCTAAAGGTCCCTAAACGAGGCCCTGGGACCCCAAATCCCAAACCGCAAAAAAAAAGATCTTGGCACCACTGCTGCTCGCTTTTGTAGCTCATCCTCCAGGCCTTTGTGAATTTCCTGCCGGCGTGGCAGTTTGGTTCTTCGCCCTAAACGGTAAGCCTCGAAGGACTCGTAGTTTAAGGCTTTTGGGCCTAAAGACCCTACTGTTTCTGGCTTGGTCCATATTGAGCTCCTGAGCCAGGATTTCGGGGGAGGTGCTTCCGTTTGAGAAACTGTCAAGACCGTTGCCACTCCGAGATTGCGAGACACAGGGTAGCAGCCCACTTCTGGTATGCAGCTTCAGATATTGGGAAATGGTACCCCTCAACCCCGAATCCTAAACCCCCAAACTTCGAACACTGCCCATGTTTTCATGCAGGAATCCCGGGGCCTCAAACCAGCTTGCACCTTAAACTGCGCTGCTGTTGACCACCCTCATGCAGGGTCTCAGCATGAGATTCAATATTAGCCCGAATCAGGTTTAGGGTTTAGGGTTTAGGGTTTAGGGCCCTAAACCCTAAACCCTAAAACCCTAAACCCTAAACCCTAAACCTAGGATGTAAAGGGGCCCACAGAAAGTCATACATCGCGCTTCACGGAAACCTGGGCATACCAACTTGTGATCAGACTTGAGCTAGTTGACAAACCCGTATACCTACGGTATACCCCAAACTCCAAAACCCTGAGGCATGACCCGGTGAAACCATGAAGCCCTAAATCCACGCCCAAAATATCGGACTTTGGGCTTTGAGGTTTGAGGTCTCCTTGGGTTGAGGTTAAGGGCTTTTTGGGGGTTCAGTTGACATGTATATGTTGGGTTTGGAGATTTTTCCCTACGCCCAAGAGTCTCCAAACCCAAAATGCCACCTAACCCAACGACCCTCAAACCTCAAAGCCCAAAAACCGATACCCTACTGATGATGATATAAATCCTGCATTACCCATAATAAGGACTATATACCATAATTCCCAAAACCAGGGTCCTTAAGGCAATGCAGGATTTGTACCATCAACCGTAGAACCCTAAACCACAACCCTAAATCCTCATCCCCTAACCTAAACCCCTGCCCCCTGAACCCTCGACCCTATATCATCAACCCTGGGATAGCCGAGGGGTCCTTGAGCCGGGTATTCATAAAGTGCTCGACCTGCGCGGTCGTGGATAAGGATGCAATAGAAAGTGGGGGGTGGGGGGGGAGGGGGGGGTACATAAGGATTCCTTTATGAAGGGCCACTACAAGGGTACTATAAGGGTTCCTTTAAAGGGTTATATACTACAAGGGGCTCCCACAAGGCACAAGCTGCGCTAGAAGGATCTTACAAACAGGATTTAGAGTATACCCAAAGGGTCCATGTACCCAAATAGTATATATAATTTGGCCTTAAAGCACTCCCTATACAGGTACCTTGGGGGCAATGTATATACTATTTGGGTACATGGAGCCTTAGGGATACAGAGTGCAGCACAATGTGTGGTTTAGGACTTTGGTGTTTTCGGCCCCGCAGGGTCTCGGATCGGTTGGAGCGCGGAGTTCCGAATTTGGAGGCGAACAAAAGGAGGGACCCTTAATGGGGACCCCTACCCTATAATGGGCTATATAGCGGGTATATAACAGCTAATTATATTGACTTGGCTGACTTCTGAACCCCTCCTAAAAATTAAAGTTTTAGCCTCGTTATTATGGTTCATATAGAAACCCAAAAAGTTAAAGTCCTAAGAGCCAACCAGAAGAACGCCAAGACATGGCGCACCAAGGACTGTCCAAACCCCCAATTGCTGGATGAGGCCTTGTTTTTTTGCAGCTTCTTCACGTAAAGCTGACTCATGTACCCAAATCGGATACATTGACCTAAAGTACCTAAATAGGGCTAGGGCCAACTTTAAAGTCAAATTATACTATTTACTATTGACTATTGGGGTACATGGTTCCTTGGGGATTGAGGTGGAATTTCCAGTGCAGCCTCAAATGATTATTCAACGTTCGTAGCCTGCAATGTGTACGCAGTCTATGCTAAGTCCAGCCACTTCCCTATACGAGCTGACTAAACCTCCAAACAACCCGAACATTACAACTCCCGAGCGGCGAAAAGCCTTTCAAAAGCTACACCCCTCAAATCCTGAAGCCGTAGAGCACCACATGAAGCCGCGTTGAACTGCAAGCGAGGAATCGTTTGCGAGGCAGATGTCGACATTCGCTCTTCCCTACAAACTGGCCTGGACACCAGACACAAAACGTGGAGCAAAGGGATGAGGGATGCATTCGTGTTTAGGTTTAGGATTCGACGTGCAGGTTGGAGAGGTTGATGTAGGTTCTGCATGTAGCCGCATGCAGCAGAAGAGCTCCGACTGGACAGGTACGACACCTCCTACGACTACTCCTGCTACTACTACATACTACTACTACTACTACTACTACTACTACTACTACTACTACTACTACTACTACTACTACTACTACTACTACTACTACTACTACTTCTACTACTTCTACTTCTACTACTACTACTACTACTACTACCACTACCAGAGCCACCCAAAGCACGTAAGGCTCCCGGATGCAGCCTCACCCAGCCGCGCACGATGGTTTGGGATCACCTCCTTCAACGACGTCACATCCTGTTTGGTACTTGGTGCTTCGGGCTGATGATCAGCTTTTAGGGTTTAGGGTTAGCTGTAGTCTCCATTGTAGTTCCTTTTTCTGGTTTAACCAGTTTTATACTAAGGATCCTAAAAGGTAACCCCAAAAAGGAACTACAATGGAGACTATAGGTAGCTGTCGGATCGGGATTATGTTATTATTAACTGTAGAGCTTGTCAATCACTCAGTCCTTGCTGCACGCCAACGCAAGCCCTACATGATGATTCTGGGTGTAGAATTGGCAGGGCGGCGAAAGGAAGCAAACAATGCCTGAGCCCCGAATCTTACCTGTAATCTCCATTGCAGTTCCTTTTTTTGTTAACCAAAATCTCTATTATGGGATCCTAACCATAATACCGGATAACCACAAAAAGAAATACAATGGAGACTACAGGCACAGTCTTGATTCCTAAGATAGCGCTGATCCCGAACCAGTCGACCGACAGCTCAGACTTAGACCCCACACCCAAGCCTGAATGCTGAGACGAACCCGGCGATATGGGCAAACCGAGAGATTTATGATATGATACCGCGAAACTCCGAAAACCCAAACCAGCTGTAACATAGAACGCTTTAGGGAACATGATACAGCAGTGCTGTGTTAGATTTAAAAGGGCGGTGAGCGCGGAGATTAGGGCGTTTTGGGGTTTACGGAATGCTGAGGCAAGAGAGCGCTAGGATTTGAGCAATTCAGGCTGTTCATGACGAGCATCCCTAAGTGGAGACTTCAAAGACAAACGCGCAGATATCCTGCATTATAAGCCCAATTGTCTGCCATCACGGCCGTTCTGAAAAGCCTGACTGAAATATGCACCCTTTCTATGGGCATCGCTCTCGTAAATGCCGACAGAAGGGCGAGAGAGGGGAGGACCTCAGTCCTCTTGCCAGAGAGCCCAGATCGGCCGAGTCATCACCGAAACAAGCACCGTGTCACTAGGCGATGCAACATGAGGGCCGCTGCTTTGTCGGACTGCAAACACTTTTCCATGCTCCTCTGGGACGACTGCAACATGCAGGGGTATGTGGTCACAAGCTTGGGCAAAACTCCATGTGGCTTGCTCAGAGACTCCAAAACCCCTTAATTAAGGAATATAATATATACCTTAAATTATAGTAGGATCCCTACTATAATTTAAAGTATATTCCTTAATTAGGGGGTTTTGGAGTCTCTGGGTACTTGAGGATTACATCACGACACTGCGCGGCCTTCCCCGGCCCAGTCTTGCCTTTGGGGTGGGAAGCCTAAATGTCCATCAACAGTTATAGGATCCTTAAGGGGGGGTGGTTCAAGGGGGGAGGGTACTAGGGAGCTTTGGGGAACCTTAGGGAAGCTTAGGGAGTATTGGGGAATAATGGGGATTACTAGGTTACCTACCCCCGTTGGACCACCCCCCCTTAAGGACATCCTAAAACAGCTTCTTGACCTCCCACTCAGTCGTGACCCCTTTGAGAAACAAACCACCCCAAAGGGTCCGTGTATCCATACGAGTATGCATTGACAGGCTGGTTACCTATATAATGACCACTTCAACGCATGACAATGGACCCTGAAGGTACTATGCAGGTCCAGACCTTCTGCAGCGCCGAGGATGCCGTTCGCAGTGCAGCGACATCTGCGATGCGGTCTGTTCGCTCCTGCAGATGCAGGCTCCATTGTTAAACCCTGATCTCAGCGCACAGCCCTCAGGGTATATGTACCCAAGTAGGATATATTTTGGCCCCGAAGTACCTAGATAGGGATTACTTTAAGGCCAAAGTATGTACCATTACTTTGGGTACATGGACCCTTGCAGGAAGCCCGAAACCTTCAACTATACCCCCTTAGAACCATAATAAAAACATAATTGTTAATATTCTCTTGGGTTCTATATGAACAAAAACATGAAACTATAATTCCTAAGGAGACTATAGTCAAGACTGAATCATCAAGTCAAGCCCTGAACCCAGGTAGCTCCGTACCGGGGGCTCGAAACCAATGCAACTCAGCTGCATGCCGCGAAAATTGACAATAAGCCTTAAACTATCGAGGGATCCTTCCTTTGATTATTTCAAGACTACAAAAGCGCCATTAAAAACAAAACAACCAAAACCAACAACAAAATAACACAAACAACACAACAAAACCACGGTTTTGGAGTCTCCGTTAGCGGGGCTCTTTGGGTCCTGCTCAAGCGTCTGCTGGAAAGCGTCCTTCATCGCCTGCTTTCGGAGGGTCGGAGGGGGGGGGTCAATCAGCTTCGGGACTGCAGGTTTAGGGTCTAGACTATACATGGTCGGGTTTAGGCTGTAAGGATCAGATTTTGGAAGCTTCGGCTTTGTGGTTCGGGGCTTAAATAGGATTTAGCACCCAGCGACTCTTAGGAGGCTGAGTTTTTTGGGCTACAGAGCCCGGATAGCCATTTAGAATCTAGACTTTCGGGCAGCTGTAGGTGTATTGAGTGTATGAACTAGGCTGTGACTTGGCCAACTGAGGCCTCATCAGATACAGCTTTTGTCTTTGCAGCCTAGCGACAACATACCTAACTACTTAATAACAGAGTTTAGTAGTGAGTATGTCCTTGGGAGCATGGGGTACTGTAAGTCACACAACCATACTTATAACTCCCGTGCATCATTAAGCTGCAAGCACAACCGAACCCCCCGTGCTGATTCCCCATCGGTTCGCCAAAAGAATGCCTGCTAAGGTTGCTGGAGCAAGGGTTACTCAAGCAAGGCTTCAGGCCTTAGCTGAAAACTGCTCCTGACATTAGGCCCTCAGGATATTCCACAACTCAGGACGCCCGCAGAACCGCTGAGCAAAGTATCCTCACCTAAGGTTCCAAGGAGACTCAGAATACCTATACTTCGGGGCCTAAAGCCTATAAATAGGCGATGTGGACTGAGGGGGTTACCAAATCTTGTACCAACCCTCGCACCTCCTCTGAGTTTGTCCTGCTCTGCGTCTCCTTCCATGCAGGGAGTCGGGGCAATGCGGTTTTAGGCTTAAGGGTGTTGGGTGCTTCTGTTTGTTATAAGGATTGCGCAAAGCTGCTTGGGATATTTTGACTATGGTAGGGCTTGTACTGAAAACTCTAGGGTTTAATGTGATTCAAGTTCATAAGCTTCACGAGAGTGATGTCAAAGTTCGGGTTGACTAGTTCATGAGGTTATTATGTTGAAAACAAGGCTTGCATACCTAAGCGTTTACAGGTTTCACTGGGTTTCGGATTTGGTTAGGGCTTAGGGGTGACGGTTTTGGGCTTCCAGTGTTTAGCGGATGGGCTTTGAAGCATTCCTGGTTTTGTTGAGGTATCGGGATGGGCAAGCAAAACCAACCCCTTCGGGTTTACATCACGATAACACTCAAACATGTTCTAAGTGAGAACCCTGACTTGTCGTAACCGTGCGATGGTCCTAAACACCTAATTAAGCAGTTTATGGCCTTTAAGGCCAAATGCCGCTCTACACGACGGCGCTGGGACCTTCGGGCTTATGGGAACTATTATTGGAACCCTTGAAGGATCCCTTAATCAAAGGGGCCCTTAAAGGATCCATTGCTATGAGGTTACTGGCCTTGAAGGGGGGGGGGGTGGCGGCGGCAATGAATTGATTGCACTTTTGCTCAACTACCTGCACCCTAAGAACCTTACCTTCCCTAAGACTCCAAGTATACAAATAGTACCTACTTTGGGGTCTAAAGTCTATAAATGGTACCTACTTTGGGCTATTTGGAGTCTTAGGGCTTCTCAATGGCACATACAAGGGGGGAACGGATCCCTATGATAGTCCCTTTAGGTCCCTATAGTGGGCTTTTAAGTAACAAGGGAGAAAAAGGTATAAACTTGTAGCTCACAATGGCTCCTTTAAGAAAAAAGTATTAAAGTATGGTACCCCAAAGCCCAGTATATAGAACTCACAATAACCCATTCTCCCATTCCCTACTAAGAACCAGACAGCCCTTCGTGATTGCAACAGGCATCCTGCTGGCTTGAATCGGAGAAGCCTTGAAGGCTTGAACCCCTTAAACCCCGTGAATCTTGCCGTGGGTTAAGACTTTAATTGAAGTTACCAAAATCAGGAAACCGTATTAATATTTGCCAAAGATCCCTATTATGGTAGCTCAAATCAAATTCCTTAACAAGAACCCCGTTAAGACCTAGACGTGAGGCTTCGAGATTGAGATCTCGGCTCCACTTGCAGGAGTTGCAGTGGCAAAGAATCCATTTTTTGCTACAAGGAGCCCTCTGGATGGAAGACCTACCCGCAAGGGTCCAAAGGATCCATTAATGAGGTACTGGGGTTTAGGATAGTAGTCATGTAGGTTCATGTTTGCGAGAGTATATGGTTCCTTAGGGCAGCTTTCAACTATGCCGAGATTCTTTTGCACGGTCATTCCGAAGTTAGCTGGGAGTTGTTGCCACGGTTGCTGGTGCTGTGTGCTTCGGCTTGCAGCGTTAATTTACTGGATAGAGATAGAAAGGTTCAGCAAAATCCACCTGCACGCACGATGAGTTTAAAGGTATCCTAAGCCCTAAGCTCTGGATCCGATAATCGAACGCCGACGTCAAGACCCGGATTCTGGTCCTTGAGCACGCTCTCACGCACTTCCCGCATGATCTGGCTCAGAGTTTCCTGACAGCTTGCGAACGCAAGGATCACGTTTCAGGCATCTCGAAACCCTGAACCTTAAACACTAAACCCTAGATTCCTCCATCAGGGGACTGGAACTTATGGCGGGCTTAACTGAGGGAGCCTTAATTTAGGGCTTGCGGAGCAAGCCGTCTAGATGTACGGGAGCTTCCCCGACAGCTGAACGTAACTCTAACTGAAAACCATAGAAAGAAACTCTCCGAGCGCATCATGTAGTTTTAGACGTTTTCTTATGCGAGCATCACTGAGCTGTTTTGTCAAAGCTTTATATAGCCAAGCAGCAAAAGGAGGTTTAGGGCTCCAGGGGCTGGAACATGTTGGCTTTAGATATCTTTTAGGTACTGCCCCCCCTTACAGTAAGAGTCTACAATAGGGCTACTACTAAGGTCCTCATGTATCTATATTATGAATATTATTCAACTATGACTGAGTGGGGGCCGTACCCAAGTTATCTTATAGAATTATCTAGCAGTGCTTTAACATCCTGTTCAGGGTACTCGCAACTGTACTTATTTTTTCACTACTTACCATTTCCCCCCCCGACCCTGAGGATTGTGGACTCCGGCCTACGCACATGCATGCACTAATTGTGTTCATAGTCACATCAACACACGTGAAGCAAGGAGTATACCGAAGGCTAAACCCTCAACCCCTACCCTAAACCCTAAACCCGATGGTATACTGTACACCTGTAAATCCGTTTTCAAAATCCCTCAAAAAACTTGAAAATATTGCTCGCTGGAAGACTTTTAGAGTCTCTTTGCCCCCAAACCCTAGACTCTAAACCCTAAACCCGGAACCCTAAACCCTAATCCCCAAGCCCTAGCCCAGGAGGGACATCGCCCCGGACCTCTCCCTCACGGCGCTCCGTCATCTCCTGGCAAACGGTCTGCTTCAGCGCATCCAAATCCTCGTGAAAGCCGCCAGAGGCTTGGGTTTAGGGTTTAGGGTTTAAGGGCTTGGTAGGGTTTAGGGGGCTTTGGGGTTTAGGGTGTGGGGCTTAACGGCTTTCGGGTGATTTCGGGTTTGATGGCCGTTAAGGCTTTAAGGTGGGGGTGAGTAGTTCCCCTAGCAAATGGAGAAGGGTCTCGGGGGTGGGGTATATCACAATTTAAACGTTTTGGGACTTTTCTGCGCAATTAGCAATACTTATTGCGGCCCCCTGGAGACTTTCCAGAGGCCAATATGTTCGGAAAAGATGTTCAGACTTGAGTTACAGCAACCACTCTTAACCCCTGAATGCCCGAAGCTCTACACCCTACACTACCTCAGAGCTTCATAGCGGCTTAAGCGGGTGCTCTCGGGGTTCACAAGTTTCTAGGTCACAGAGTAGCTACAGAGTCACTGAGTCATGCAAGGCCTTGGGCTCAATGCCAAGGAATAGAAACTGATTTGGGTGTTAAAATCTTCACGAATGGAAACTTAAATTGACTCATACTCTGATGTGGGGGGGTCGTCCTCGATTCACGTGTCTTGGGGTGTTTGACAATGCAAAAAGCATTCAAAACCCCTGCCAAACATGCAATCTCGATGTAAACCAGCACAAGGCCCGAGGTAACCCTCAATTGTATAATGAACCCCGGAAGTCCCACATAAACCCAAGATACACCCCAACAAACTGTAAACCCCAAGCAGTCAAGGTGCATTTGCCCTTACAATACGTGCTTTGCGGCCCTAGAACACCTCGTATAAAAAGAACCTTCAAAGGCCTGAGCATACACAAAATGTGTTCATAGACCCTTCGTGAACCAAAAACCCTAAACCAAACCAAAACGTAACAACAATGATGTAAAATCCGAAACCTACGTCAAACCTGAAAACAACCCTAAAACCCGAGACCCAACCATAAACTTATCAAGAAGAAGGTGAACTCCAAAACCTTAGCTTACCAGACAGAAAACCGTAAACCCTACAACTGTACTAAACCCAACCTTAAACTTAACAAACAGCAGCCCCTAAACCCTATAAACCCTAGAAACCCCTAAACCCTAAACTCTTAAACCCCGAACCCTAAACTCCTAAACCCCGAACCTGAACCCCCAAACCCCGAACCCGTAAACCTCTAAAAGGCAGCCGCCCAGCGCTCCTCCAAGGACACTTTCAGGTCCTCGCGAAGGCGTCGGTGTTGCAGATCGGCAGCTTGCTGCTCACGGGACCTGTAAAGAGCTTTGAGATTACAGCAAACTCAAAAAAGTTGGAAACCGAATTAAGGACAAAGGGTGCTGGGATTCCCTGTATTTTACTCTTAAGGATTGATGCTATCGGGTTTCCAACTTTTTGGATTCTACTGTAGGGTTTGGGGCTGGGCTTCGGGTTTGGAGTTTGTGTGCTTAGGGCGTGGGGTTTGGGTCAAAGGGGTGTAGGGCTACAGGGCTTAGGGCTGGGGCTTGGGGCTTGTGGGTTTGAGATTTTCGCGGCTTAGGGTTTCCGAGTTAAGGGTTTTCAGTTTTGAGGCTTACCCTAAGGGTCCAAGTACTCCTTGGTATAGCCGTCATGACTGGACTTTGGGTCCTTCGGGGAACTTATTCAGGTTTGAGGGGTTTACACGGTTTACACTCTTCGGGGCTGCAGGGCTTGGTTGTGCGTAAACCATGCAGGGTGCGGTGCAGTTTAAGGTGTTGACGCAAAGTTGGGTGTAACCAGCTAATCCCTAAACTAAACCCTAGACCCTAAAACCTAAACCGCTTTTGAGCATCGCCTCCATCCCAACGGGCTCGCACAGAAAAACGTGGTATCGCCTAGCACTAAAGCCGCATATTTCTAGCGTTGTCTTTTGGCTGAGAACATGGGTGTTAGAGCCTCATGGGAAAGGGTTGATGCGAGTTTCCATGCCATATACGGCGAATGCACCCCAAGCAAAGACCTGAAGCCCTAAGCAACCAATGTGCGACAACTGTCACCATCAGTTCTTCCACCTCAACCCGACCGGTCCAAGTACCAAGTACTGTAGATATCTACTCCGAACCCAAATACAAAGTAGTGGCTAATTGGGATCCTGAACCATGTTCTCTTACTCTGTTTACCCCAGCCTCAGGACTTTCACGAAACCTTTTATAGGGTTTTATCGGGAAAGCCTTGTTGGGCGTGGAGTCCAACGTGTGTCAGGTGCCGGGGGAATGTTTCTGTGTTCGGAACTCAGGGCTCAGAATGGCCATGCCTCGTGATGAGCTCCTCATTCAGAGCTTTGATCTTCTGCGCCACCTGCGGGGATTATGATACCCTTTTGACTCTATAGATCCTAAACCCTCAAATTTGCGGGTTAGGTTTCAGGGATACGTCCTGCACACGGGCATGACCCAACCATCCAGAAACCTTCGGTGTTCGCGTCTTGTATGTATGAATATATGTATGTTATATTATATATATATATATATATATATATGCGTTATATATGTACACACACCCTTTATACATGTCTGTTTGTTTAGTTGATCGTGGGTATGAATGTTTCGCGGCCCAGGGAGACACGGAGCCAATGCCCGGCTCAACCACACCGAGGTGCACTCCTGTACCCTGAAGGTCGCAGTGTCCAACTGTCTTATGTGGGTAGTTGTCAAAATTATGGTCCCTTTTTGGGTACCCTAAATATGAGGTGCCGTATTATAATAAGGACCCAAAAAGGAACCATAATTTTGACAACCACCCATGTAACTCCCTGACATATGCACTCGCGCAATAGTCACTACTGTCGCAAACCTATGCATCCGATAATTGGGCACTCACTGCTATCGCAAACTTATGCATCCGACTATTGGGTACTTTATGGTTTAGTGGGGTGACCGAGCCGAACCCCAGACCCTACCTGTAGTCTTCATTGTAGTTCCTTTCTTGGGTTAACCAAAATCTCATAATTATGGGATCCTAACCATAAAACTGGATAACCAAAATAAGGAACTACAACAGAGACTATAGGTAAACTCTAAAGAAGGAGACTCACAGGCTCTGGATACTGTGGCAAGGCCCGAATTCGGATCCTGCACGACCCTGCTCCTGACCCGAAAGCCCATCCTTTACAGATCCTTTTGAAGACCACTAAAACCCAAAAACCCAAAACCCAACACCCCCTTAACCAAAACCCCCTAACCAGAGCCCTAATTCCAAAACCCCGCCATGAAGGAATACTTTAAAGATTGATTCAAACAAATGAAGAACCTACTAAGAAAGGACCACTGAACCCAAAGGGTCCATGTACCCAAATAGTATATACTTTGGCCGTAAAGTACTCCCTATATAGGTACTTTGGGGCCAATGTATATACTACTTGGGTACATGGACCCTTAGGGTGAACTCGAAGGCTCTGTAGCCTCGGTCTCCGTCGCGGCGCGCTCTCGCGTCTCGGTCTCGAGGTCAGCTCGCGCCTGCTGTGGTTCAGGATTTGGGGTTTAGGGATTCAGGCGTCTCGGCTCAGATATTGCATTTGGCTGTCTCCTTGATTCAGCCATTTGCATATTAGGTGCCAGGCCCTAGCGTTTGCTCTGCCATTCGCGTCGCCTCCAGTCTGGGGACTGGTTGCAGCTGCCCTTTGCTGGGCCTGCACGGTGCTCTGCACCCGCCCTCTACTGTGAGCGGCAAGGCCTTTTCTTTGACGGCTGGCCCCCGTCCGCCCTCTGCTGTGAGTGGCTACACTGGCCTTTTTCCTCGGCGGTTGGGCCCCGCCTGCGCTGTCGCTGCAGTTGACTCTGCCGACAGGCGTGTGGATATTCTATGGGCAGTAGGAGACCCTATTTCCTCCTACTGCCACTCTTTGCCCTTGGGATTTTCCTTCTGTGGATTGGGCAGGCTCCTGTGGACCATTCCTCGCCAAGGCGAACCTGGCTGGCACAGAAGGAAGCGCCACCAGCGTCGCAAGGCGAGAGCTCGCCTACACGCTGGCCGCGGACAATCACAGGACATCGAGCTTCTCCGCTCGCATCACGGATCGATGCCACCGAAGACCCCAGCCAGGGAAAAGCAAGGGAAGGGCGGCGGCAAATCTGGCAAAGCAGAAGGGCCACTCCCGTCTACATCGCAGGTGCAACTTGGGTTCCCTGCGGAGGTGATCACAGCTCTGCAATCTCTCCGAGATCGGGCCACATCCGACCTGCGGCTCGACGACTATACGGTTGCAGAGGATCGCACGCTTATCCAGGCGGCCAATCAACAGGCAGCCGCGATCACCAGAGCCACCAAGCGCCTGGAGGCGAACTCCCGGGCGAAAGTGGCGCTGGGGCAGGTCTTGGGACTATGGCTCGACCGGGTAGGCCGCCACCTTGCGGCTGTTCCTCGACAGATCAACAATGTGGGTGCACGCCTCGATGCAGACGGCAGCCCTCGACGCAGCATCCCAAGGGCTGGTGGCAGGGCAGGCTGCCCTCCTGCGCCAGCAAGCCGCGGAAGCCATGGGGCCACCGATCGCGACCATGGTGGGGAACGAAGTGCTCCGCATTGCCGCCGAGCTAAGAGCAGCAGCTACAGTGTCGGCAGGCAGCTCTGCCATCCTACCGATGTCAGGCGGGCACTTCGGCTTCCCGGACAACACGGGTGCAGGCCCTGCAGACCTCCACGCCACCATGGACCTAGGCTTTGGTGGGGTTGGAAACCTTGTGGAGGATGCCCTGATCGAGCCGACAACACGATCGCACGTCCCGCCAGGAAACCCCGCAGCTGCATCGGGGCGCCGGTGGGCTCTGAAGAGGGCGACAGACCCGGCGGCCTCCAGGCCATCCAAAAGTCCCAGGCGGAGCGATCCCCTTTCGGACAATGCTGGCACGGCCGAAGGGTCTGCGACGCCATGGCCCAGTGCTGCCACAGGTCGATCGCCGCTGGGCCACAAGCCAACGCCTCTGTCCAGGCCAGGGGATCTCAAGACCCAGCTGGATGCAAGCGCCGACCCATCTATGCCGAACCCTCCGGAGCCCACTGGAACCCCTGGTGCAGCACCGGTGCCAGTGGAACTGAAGGACTCGGCTCAGGGTGGAGACGCAAAGATCGTGGCTCCAATCCTGGATCGCTGTGGTGCAACGCTTGGCAGCTCAGGGTCGCGACCTGGTAGGGGACGTGCCCCAACCGCCGGACCAAGCAGCCCTTCCGGGGCGTCCAGCCACAGATGCAGAAATCTCAAGTTTCCATGGCATCGCAGAGGCCATCTGGAAAACTTTGCTGGAGCATGCGCAAGACCCCGACTCGGTCACTGGCCCTCGCATCCTAAACATGGTGCAGGATGTCCAACACTTGGGGGGGATGGTGCATTCCCAGCCTGTCTTGGTTATCTCTTGCAGGCAGGGAGTCATTGCGTTGGCGCACCTCCTCAACTCGCGGATTCTGGGTCTGGACGGCTTCGCTCCGCAGACGCTGCAGGAGTGGGCAAACCCCCACGAGGTGCTGGGACGTGGCTTGACACCGCATGGGCACCTCGCTACGGTCAAGACGGACGACGAAGCAGAAGCCGTGCTCCTCGACCAGGACTGCCCGTTTTTCTGAATCAGCTCGAGAGGAAGGTTGTACAGGTCTTCTGGATTCTTTGTACAGCTGCAATGACAGTAGCACTGATTTCTTGGGTAGCCGTTGTCTGTGCGGAAGCTGGTGTCCCTCGGCTCGTCACTCTCTCTTTTGGATTTCTTCGGCCTTCTCTCCTATGGCTGTGGCGGGCCCCTTGGATTTGCCTGGAACCTCTCTTTCGGGTTCGGTTTAATCTCTGCCCCAAGCACAGGATCCGCGCTCCACGTCCCCGCTCAGGTAAAGGCATTGCCCTGCTTTGGCTGATTGCTTCTGCACATGTTGCTGACTGCCGTGTGCCACCGTATCCTGCTTCGGTTCATGGCACGGCTACGGGCGCTCCTGCACCTGCTGCAGCTACCAACTGGCCTGCTGAGTCCACCTCTCTGGTCCAGGTGACGCATTCCCGGCGCTTTCGAGGGGACTCTATCCTCGCCGTGCAACCGGTGCCTCGGGTGCAGCATCTACATGAGCTTGAGATTCCCATCATGCACCCGGCTGCCGGGGCGGACAACCCGCATGCTGCGGGTCCCAACCACCTCCGTCCAGTGGCGGTTTTCGTGGCTGGGCACCAAGCCGGGGGACCCACCACGGTTGCAGTGGACGTGCGACTGCACGGCATGCAGATGCATCGGGTCCTGCTCCAATTGCTCGGGTTGTCGTTCCAGCTTTGGCATGTTCATGAGCTGCAGACCTTGCTACCCAGCCTGCCTCCTGAGCAGGTCGTGGTCGTGCCGAATGAAGTTGCATGGAACCAAGCTTGCATCCCAGTTGATCTGTGTGCACTTGGCGGGGGGTATTCGGTTGTGCGAGGACCGCGTCAGCAGCTTGCGAGCTACTTTCTTGTAGCTGCAGCCCGGAGTCAAGACCTCCCACTCGACCTGGGCCGCACTGTTTGCCTCACCAGGCATGGGTTCTTTGATCCTAGCTGCCAAGCCCTTTTGCTTCACGGTAACGACGCCTTGCAAGCTCTGCCGGTGTATGATGTGGAGTATAGCCTGGAGCCACCCACTTCAAGCACGACGTCACACCGTCTGGCGCTCAGCTCCTCCAGCGTGCCATCACAAGGCCTGGACGACCTCCCCAATCCATGGCAACGGGCAGCGGTTATCACCCTCAATGGCCTTGTCTTTTATGACACGGATCCATTTCAGGATCGGGAAGGGCTATTGCGGTCCGCTTACTTAGCAGTTGAGGATACCACCCCTATCTTCCTGCTTCGCGTCTACCCTCCCATGCCAGGACTACCGCCAGTCCAGTTTGTGCAAGCCATAGCATCCGCATGGCAAACCACTTATGTTGTTGATGCAAGGCCCGTTGGAGGCGAAATCAACATCGTCTACCTAGGGCCGCGGGCACCGGTGCGCGATGTCCTCCTGCAGCTGCCCACATATCGGAGTGTCGGCCCTGTTGGCTCGGATCTTGTTGCACGCATCCGTGAGGGAGAGCTACGTGCCCTCTTTCGGGAAGCTGAGGTTGGTGTTGACACTGCCTTGCCAGGCCATGCGCCCTTGGCTATCCTCATCGCACCCGGACGCAACCGACCGGGCCCAAGGCAGCCCAACAACTCCCCTGCTGACCCTAGTAACTCCCAGTCCGACACCCTACCACACCCTAACAGTGCCAGCGCGGGGTTTTCTGGGTTCCTAGCTACTGGTCTGGCTCTCGTGCGTGGCAGCGGCTGGAAGGGAGTGTTGGCCTGGGTTATAGGCTCCCTCTACGTTGATGCCACAGGTAGGGCGCAAAGTCTGCCAGCGGATCCTGATCGTGCTTCTAGGGCCGTGCCTGCACCGAATGGCCGTCTGGAAGTGGTGTATCATGATGCAGCCACGCACCTTCGTGTACAACAGACCATTCTGTCAGGCTTTGAAGGTGACTTCATGCCGATTGTCACAGGGTTCGGCTCACTGTTCCATTCGGTTGAGCTCCGCGTCTGCTTGTGGGCGCCGGACGATTTCGAGGAGTTCAAGTTCCCAGGCTCGGCCTCTCGGAATCTCCTCATGTCACGGCTCACTGAGACTGCCAGAGGATGGGGCAGGGGCAATGTGGTGGCTGCCTCCTTTGCACCCAGTGCACTGGCCATTCATTTTGTGGCTGTGACCACAGAACCCGGGATTCGCACGGTCCTTTTTACCACAGGTACCAACTGCGCCTGCCTCGATGTCGAGAGAGACCCTCCGCGAGACTCTCTCCTGCGGCTCTGCTCCGACCGCCTGAAGTCAGACTGCATCCGTCTGCTGCCTATGCCAACGCCTCTCCGGCATGGGGATGTAGTTAGGGTTGAGGCTGATTTTGACTTCAACGGGGCCGATGTTAGTCGATTTCTGCTTTACGCGGAGAGCCTGAGCCCATCCCGCTGGCTTGCTTCACCGGCTTACAGGCAGTTGGTCGTGCTCGGGAAACGAAATGGGGTTTCCATCCTGCATGATGCTGACCTCTCCCGATCGGCCTTCTGCGCCGCCGAGGAATGGGTACGCGAATGTCTCGGGGCCAGGCCTGTTGTGCGGGAAGTTCCTGAGCTCTCTGGATTGCTTGGATTCCCCTGCTTTCAGTCAGTGCGCATCGGGCACACCAATGCTGTCCTCTGGCTACACGACCACTTTGGCTCCGGTGACACTGGTCTAGCCTTTGCGGTGGAGGGCACCTTCTCGTCTGCTGTGGATGTTTTCGAAGCTTGTGCAAGATCCTCCTCCACTGCCAGAGCAGTCTGCAGCATAGTGTCTAATGCAGACCTCCGCACGGTTCGCACTGTCCATGGGGTGTTTGCCGATGCCAGTAACACCCGCACATTGTATGTGCAGATGGCTTTTGATCTGCAGGCACTCCCAGGAGGTTGCTTTTCTGTGTTCCGGCAGCGGGCCACCCTCATTGGCTCACGGGCCAA